TTCCCTATATTAAACACTCAGGGAGAAGAACATTGAAGACATCAAGTCAGTGGAACACAAACAGCCTTCTCAGGACCAGCAATAATATTACACACACATCCTCTTTTCTTTTTTCTATTTAAATGCACTGTCACTGTCCCCTGTTTTCTGCCATCTCTCCTTTGACTGAGGCCAACCATCAGCAAAGAAGCTGAGCAGCACTTGCCAACTTGCTGTTGCTGGGGAGCAAAACCTTCACGAGACGACAAATCTAGATTACAACAATAGAAATATTCATTTTACCTTAACTGCTCAGCTCTAAAACGCTGTTTGCTCCTTCTTCCTCTTGTCTCAAACAAATTGACAAACATTGACAAACAATGATAGGACAAGGGGTAACGGACACAAACTGGAACACAGGAGGTTCCACTTCAATTGGAGAAGAAACTTCTTCTCAGTGAGGGTGACAGAGCCCTGGCCCAGGCTGCCCAGAGAGGTTGTGGAGTCTCCTTCTCTGCAGACATTCAAAACCCGCCTGGACGCCTTCCTGTGTAACCTCATCTGGGTGTTCCTGCTCCGGCAGGGGGATTGGACTGGGTGAGCTTTGGAGGTCCCTTCCAATCCCTAACGGTCTGCGATTCTGTGATTCTGTCTGCTACTAACACTCCTTAAAACCTTTTAAAAAGTAGCGTCTCTGAAGCCATGAGCTATTGCAGAAAGCAGGGCTTAGACATCTGCAGTGGTACGTTATTTATGCAACCATTTTCCCCTCGTAGTGGCCTTCTGAGAAATCATGGTCGGATTCATAAAAAGGTCTCTCATTCTCGGTCCCCTAAGTACACACATTCAAACATACATCTAGTGCCTGCACAATAAAAATAAACATGATGGATGAGGTAAGGGACTCATCTGACTGTCTAATAAACCGGACGGTTATTAAAGAGATGGAGTGTTTGTTTACCGTACAAAACCGAGAGGAGAGGGTGTCCAGCAGCGTCTAACCAAAGGCTTGTGCTCAACAGCCCTCATGCTCAGCTCGCAGGGCTGGATGCAGCCAACGCAGTGCTCTGGGGATGGGACAGCCTCCCCCAGCTGCTCCTGAAACATAACCACCCTCATCGCTATCACAGCCAAAGGACCAAGCATGAATCACCGGCGCTGCACGGGCACTGTGGATGGTGAGG